TTTTTTTTTTTTTAAGATTTTATTTGTTTTTTTGATAGAGAGAGACACAGCGAGAGAGGGAACACAAGCAGGGGGAGTGGGAGAGAGAGAAGCAGGCTTCCCACGGAGCAAGGAGCCTGATGCGGGGCTCAATCCCAGGACCCTGGGATCACGACCTGAGTCGAAGGCAGACACTTAATGACTGAGCCACCCAGGTGCCCCCACAATACTGCTTTTAATGTTACAGATTTAGTCCTGAAGGAAAAAAGTCTGTCTTTCTGGATTTAAACTTGAATGGGTGACAGACTATATACTAATAACTAACTATATAATATCAGGTATTCTGAAGAAAATGAAGCAGATTTGGGGAGATAAAGACTTGGGAGCTGCTTTTCTTGATAGACTTATCAGGTTTCTCTAAGACACTGACATTTTTGAAGAAATTTGACTGAAGCATTTCCTCTTATCACCTTTGTTGATGCACAGAGACATACTTTGCCAGATAACCCAGGCAAGAAACCAGATTGTCATCTTAAATTCAACATGCTTTCTTGTTTTTCACATGTAAAGATTTCAGAAGTTCTCATATCTATTTTACCTCCTTAAAATACCCTTTTCTTCAGCGCCAAGTTTCCAACTCTACTACTGTGATCAAGTCCTATTTCTTCTTTGAATTGCAATAGTTTCTTTTTATTTTTTTTATTATGTTATGTTAGTCACCATACAGTACCTCATTAGTTTTTGAGGTAGTGTTCCATGATTCATTGTTGCAACAGTTTCTTTAAAGGTGTTCTGGCCTCCAGGCTTATACTTTTCAACACTGGTACCAGAATGGGCTTTATTAAACCCAAACCAGTTCACATTACTACCTTAAAATAACTTACTGGCTCCACAGTGTACTACATACTGTTTCCTCTTATTAAAGACTTCTGTGATCTAGCCCCTGATCTCACCCCTAGCCCCTTATCACTTACCCTGCCTCACACCCTATCTCTTCTTCTTGATGTAGAACTAATTCTTCCACAGGTGTGGTAGACTATTTTGGATCTGTTTTCCATGCCTTTTTTCCCTCAGTTTGTTACCTCTCTCAGAAGTGCATCATCACCCGCTCCTCACCAACCATTTGGAAAACTTGTAAGACTGCCTGTCGAACAAGCTCTCAGGTGCTCTCTGTGCTGCTGATGTACTGCCTACTGTGAGTAGGAAGGGCCTAGATGATTCTAAGATCCTCTTGACCCCAAACTGTCATAAAATTACATTGTTTCTACTATAAAATTCTTTTCTATGTCTCTAGCAACATCTTTCACCATTCTCTCTTGAACTTTATGCTCTGCTCCTTCCCTCTATCTAATCTGAACTAGGTAAAACTCCTAAAAGAAATGATGTTTTGGATGTGTCTTTGATCACTGTCTTTCCAACTGCAGATTTCTCTTCTCTCCCTTCACTTGCCTAATACCCACTCATCCCTCTAGATTTAGCTTTCTGTGCTCTCTGTTTGTAATTTTTTTCAGGTACACTCCACTACCAACATGGGGCTTGAACTCACGACCCTGAGATCAAGGGTCACATGCTCTACCAACTGAGCCAGCCAGGCTCCCCAGCTTTTTGTGCTCTCTGAATTGGACATTACAATGATCCATAATTGTTGCTTTATATTCTCCCCCCCCCAACTTGATGAAGATCTTTGAAACATGCAGTTATTAGCACCATGCCTTGACACAAAGTAGATGATAAGTCAATGTACAGGGGATAAAAGAGTTTATATTGAAAAATGATCAGACCCAAACGCAAAGCTTACTTATGGAGTAAGAAAACTCTTGTCATGCTTCTCCAGTAGTGGAGTGCTTAGTTTTCATTCCTTATTTCCTCTTCTATATACATCCCATCTGCACCATTATTTTCCCTTTGGCCTTATCATCTTCCAATAGCCCTTCACCACTTAATCTGTATCCAGTGAATTTTTGCGTCTAACTTTTAACTTTTGGAAAAAGGATTTCTCAAATATTGATATATTTCTGTTCATAAGTGGGAATTACCTCTTCCTTAAGATTGCCTAAGAAGCATTTCAATTTTTTTTCAAATACTCAACTACTAACAATTGTTAAACTTGAAATAAGAACTTTTTAAAAATCTTCAAACACAGAGTCTAACTTATTTTCCCCCTGTGTTAAATATGATGACTGCATTTTGCAAGTTTCCTTAGGCAATATACACACAATAGGTACAGAACTCTTTTATTATTCATTTTATTTTCATATAAATTAACATCCTAGAAAAATTGAAATAGAAACACTAAATACAGTATTGCACATAGCGATCTTTGTTAAATGCCCTATTATTTCAGTGAAGAATGGTAATATACACACTGGAGGGACTGAAGGAGACAGGAAGACTACAAAACAACAACCAAAATCCACTACTGTTTCTTTGCACTTAAATTACAAACTAAAAGGTAAGAGACCATACTTTACATAAACGCAAATATAGTTATGATTCGGAACATTTTCTTTTTTAAGTTGCTTTCCATGATTGGTTTCCAATAGCAAGAAATATCAACAACCATAACCCCCAACAAATATCATCAAAAGAATTTTTAAAAACCCTACCTATTAGTGTTAGACAAAACCATCACAATGCATCAGGAGATGACTTTAACATCCTCTCACAAAGAGTGGGAGATTTACTTTTTTTACCCCTCAAAGTGAAATAAAAGAAAATCCTTTCCTAAGCTCCTTCAGATAACCAATCATTACATATTCATCTGACAGCTTTTAATCACCTGCTATAACACATAAAGACAATCCCAATCATGTAAAAATACTCAGGCCGGTACGTTTAATTAACAGATGCCAATCCATCCAAAAACTTACTACCCACTCCCCTTTTTTGGCCAACAATTAGTCACGTTTGGCAATTTTATGAGCATCATTTATTTAAATTCCTTCAAAATATTGAGTCATGTTTTCTTTTTGAAGGCCAATGGTAAAGTTATAGAGGCACACCTTTAGTTTATTTTAGCTGAAGATTAGCTTTATGTAGGGTCTCAGAGAACACAGGCTGATAAAAGCCCTCATTAAACTTAAAACTCTGATTCCTGCCTATATTAGATGATTTATAGGAAAGGGTTTACCTTTTGCTATATTTCTTCTATTCATTATCTGACTTGCGTAAAAAATGATAATCTTCTTTCACAAATATATAGTTAGGGAGAGCAACCCAAGAATTGGGAAAGCCTTGATCATGATATATAAATGGTACTTAAATTTTAAAATAGAAAATTTATATGTAGACATGTAACTGATACAAACAATTCACTAGAAATAACATTTTAACCATAAATCTAAATGCAGTGACATGGAGTACTGGTTGTCAGTAGAAAGGAAAGTGTTTTGCTGGGATAAGGAATATTCTCACGAAAGTAAATTTTAGGTTAACATTTAGCATGTTCAGCATTAATGCAAATATTGCCTCTTATACATGCTGTTTTGGTCTATCAATATAATACCATAAACTTTACAAAAAGAAAAGGTGTCAAATTATCCACTGGTCTACTGCTTTTGCATTTTTATGAATGTACAGTAAAATTCAACAATCAGTGAACTGTCTAGAAAACACAAAGATTGTGCAAGAGGTCAAGAGGAAAAATGAACAAAATGATGTAGTTTTCTTCCCATCCTCAGGTCAGCTGAATTTTGTGGAAGTGGTTACAGTGACTCATGTTCATTCTGCTTTTCATTGTTCAGGTTTTCATGCTTATTTTTGCTTTCTGAAAATAAATGCACCAGATAAGAGTTATAGTTAGAAAGAAGAACTTTAAAAAATGTACGGAGTTTAGAATAGCTCAAACAAGATCTTTTCATTTGGATCAAATTCTCTGGGAAAAGGTTAAAGATCCACCAGCCCATAAAGGAAAAAGATATAAGTAAACTGTTTTATCTTTAAGAATTTTCAACAGCCAAGGGGTGCCTGGGTGGCTCAGGGGGTTAAGTAGCTGCCTTCAGCTCAGGTCATGATTCCAGGGTCCTGGAATCGAGCTCCTCTTTGGGCTCCTGCTCAGTGGGGCCTGCTTCTCCCTCTCCCCTCTGCTCATGCTCTCTCTCTCGCTATCTCTCCCTCTCTCAAATAAATAAATAAAATCTTTAAAAAAAAAAAGAATTTTCACCAGCCAAATCACCAAATATTTTTGAGAAAAAAAAAAAAGCTTTAAAATTTTAGCATCTAACCAACATGAAAAAGTGCCAACTCACCTTTCTCATTCTCAATTCTATGCACACATACATAAATATGAAGATTGAATTGGCTGCTTCGTTTCATGGTTAATACGATTTAATTCTCTTCTATGCTTATAATGGCATGATTGAGGTTAATTAATAATTATTCCTCTTCATTCAATGCACCTTTAAGGTTGTACTTTAATCAAAAAGAAAATAAACTAAACCATAATATAATACCTGTCATTAGAGAAGACTAATTTTGATATAGAGAAACTAAAGGGAAAATATCTTTTAAATGAAGATATATTTCCTTTTTCTAAATAGGGTTTAATCAGTTTAATCATATCCCAACCTGGGTTATTTTGATCTTTTCCACTTAGACTACATTAGATTAATCCAATTCAAAATGTTCCTATTTTAAGCCTAACCCAACTTTTCATTTAGAACAGCATCATTTACTTATCCCTGTGGTACCAAGTGATACACCCTCAAAACATTTAAAACAATACTGACAGCATCACAAGGGAAAACTCGTCATTTTTACCAAGCCCTGCCTTCCAGGATGCACAATATGTCATTTTAAAGAAAGAAGTGGGCAAGGAGGAAGCTTAGATTAGCTTGTTAAACTCAGCCTACTGGCTGACAACTGTTAAACAGCCACATACGGGTACACGCCAGGTCTGAGCCCCCCAGTCTGAGCAAAGGACAATACTACACTTGGCATTTCCCATCATGTTTTAGATCCCAATGGTGCTAATCCAATGATAACAGCCACTCGGGGTTCAAATGCAGCCTTGTGCTGGTGATGCTTGTGTAATGGAGAAAGTGAGAAACTGCCCCCCAACTCCTGCCAACACACACATATCTAGGTATATGCATTCCCTTAGTAGATTTTTCTTAATTCTTAAGCTTTGGATGCTAGATCCTGAGATTCTCTTAGCCTTTTGGGCCTGATTAAAGGCATAAAGAAAAGGAGAGAGAGAATCTCTCTCACACTGAAGAGGAAAATAATTAAAATGTTATTATGTGAGTTTGTATATATTGTGAAAACAGTGTTTAAAAGCCAAAGCAAATCACAAGTTAAAAAGAGAAGAGTTAAATACTTACAATTCCAGAGTCATGTCTTGGTTTTATTTTATAAAGTGATTTCCCCTTTTTCTGCCTGCACACCTCTTCGGCTTCTTTTACTCTGGGTGGAGAGAAGACACATGTATTTCAGCAAAGACCTATACGGATCACTGCAATCCACCTTATGATAGGTGAGCAAATATCAACTCATTGAGGATTTGAGTTATTGGAGAAAATAATACCACATACACAGGAACATTATCTGACATTTGATTCAAAAACACTGAATGTTAGAGCTAGAGGCTAATTCATCCAGGGGTTCTCATCTTGGAATCAAAGGATGTCGAATGGAATGATCTACAAACACATTAAAAATGTTATATCTACATTTCATCCTATGTTAAGGGAGTCTTATGTAGAAGAAATTAAGGAAATATCCCTCATTTTCAGGTGAGGGTACTGAGAGTGGTTCCATTACATAAATCTGAAGCATTAAAATACTTAAATAAACAGTATCATACAAAAACTCATATGCTTATTTTAAAATCATCTCAGATTTACTTTCCACGTCACACTCACCAAAAAAGTGAATACTTGGGCAGGGTTTAAAAAACTGAGCTTCATTAAGCAACAGAACCAACCATTTATTGGAAAACAGAAACTAGAATGTGCGCAATAATAATGTTTTGACACTTCTGGGAGTTCTTTTTAAAAACACACCCCAAGGAAAACAGCATTGAATTTACCAGAGGTACAGTTAAGAGAGGATGTTATTTGGAGGTAAGATCTTCACTGAGTTCTGGATCTGCTAGTTGATACTGGGTAATGTCCTGATACCACTGACTATTGTATTCTGTCAAATAGTAAAAGGGCTTAATAATATATAATAGCATTATTATTATTACTAGACAGAATTGTTGCAAAGATCAAAAAAATTTTATTTAAAAAGTTCTTTATGGGGAGCCTGGGTGGCTCAGTTGGTTGAGCAACTGCCTTCGGCTCAGGTCATGATCCCAGGGTCCTGAGATTGAGCCCCGCATCGGGTTTCCTGCTCCCTGGGGAGCCTGCTTCTCCCTCTCCCTCTGCCTGCCGCTCCCCCTGCTTGTGCCCTCTCTTTCTCTGTCAAATAAATAAATAAAATCTTTAAAATAAAAAAAATTAAAAAATAAAGTTCTTTATAAATTGTAAAATGCTATAAAAAGTATATGCGATTGGGGTGCCTGGGTGGCTCAATCGTTAAGCGTCTGCCTTCGGCTCAGGTCATGGTCCCAGGGTCCTGGGATCGAGCCCCACATCGGGCTCCCTGCTCCATGGGAAGCCTGTTCTCCCTCTCCCACTCCCCCTGCTTGTGTTCTCTCTCTTGCTGTGTCTCTCTCTGTCAAATAAATAAATAAAAAAATCTTAAAAAAAAAAAAAGTATATGCGATTGCGTTAATTAAACAACTGGTAAGAAATCTGTAAAGTAGGATTATACTAATAAAAAGGGGTCCCATAAAAAAGGAAAATAACCTATTAGGTTAATTTATTTATTATTATGATTTCCCTTGGGAATTAAAAATGGAGTATTCCTGGAGAAACTAAAAAAGCTGTGACTTATCTTAATAAAAGACTTTTTATGCAGATCTTGAAGTTTATTTCCTGAAAGAAATGAATTATAAATATGTTTCTTGAGCGCTGTGGTAAAAGATCTGATGGCAGGATTCCTCTGCCGTACAACTGAACGAACACTGGTTTTAAACAGTGGAATGAAGGAAATGATCCCACACAGCAGCTACAGGACTGGTATTAAGAGTTTACGTTAAAGCGTGACACATGAAAGTAATTCCTTTTGGACGTAAAATGCCTGCTGAGTTGATATTGTTATTAATTCCAGAAAATGATGACAATTCAGAAGACACTCCATTGTTACTACTTTTATTACTTTCTACCCAAGTCATAAATTGCCTTTAATCCTTCCTCCAAATATTTGAAGACAAAAGCATTTCCTTTATAACAAACAAAGGATTGCAGAGTTCCCATCTTGCCTCTGAAAGAGCTACCAGTAAATTTAAGTTGAAATATTTGGACAGGGAATTAAAAAACTTTTTTTTTTTTTTTTTGTTTAGCACTTAGCCAAAATCCAGTAGATCCCCTCTTAACTTTACTTGGAACTCTTTAAAGTATTTTGTAACATTAAAAAAAAAAAAAAGTGTACTTCACAAGTATTTAGATCACCAAAGCATCTTAATTTTCTCACTATCATATTTATTTTATTTTTAAAACACATTTTTCTAAGGATCACAGGAAGACAAATCTAATTCAAACATATTTAATTTTACACAAAAACAAATTCAACCATTCCTTGTAGCAGAGATAACAAAAACTAAAGAGAACATGCGTCAAGGAAACCTCACAAGATCTAGCTCATCCCTTCATTTGACAATCATTTATGGGGCAATAACTCCAGGCCAGGCACTGGGCTCAGCTCAATTTTATAAGGACAATTAAGTTCAATGTCTAATAGGAGAGCTACACACATAAGCAAGTACAAATGTGCCTAAAGCACCACCACCTAGGTTTGTAGAGGTCCAGCCATGTCCCAAGAGGGTAGGGGTTGTGGAAATCTTTCTGGAGCAGGTTGACAGCGGAGCCTTGCTTCAAAGAGAAATCTTAACTGCTCGTACATTTCTTGGAAGGGGAAATGGGGTGGAGGATGAAAGAAGAATACATACAGAAGAACATGTGCGAAGGCCAAGTGAGACAAGGATACCCCAGTGAGCTTCGAGAACATACACCCCGCTCCCCTGTGCTGCCATAGGATCTCCACAACCCCAGAGGCCGGGGTTGGGGCTGGCTGTCTATGCTCCGGTTTCTGATGCGCATGGCTGGGGTGAGTCAGTCACTGCATCCTAGGCACCTCAAGACCAGGCACAAATAAATGAGGTGGGGAGCTGAGAAACTAAGCACCAGGACCTCAAGTAGTTGTTCTTTGGATTTAGAAGCACAAGCATGGAGCATATGTTAAAATGCAGTTTTCCGGACCTATTTTACTCTGGGGCAGTCACCAGTGGGGGGTGGGGTAGAGAAAGGGGTGTGCTTCTAAGCAGCACCAGAGAACGGGAGGAAGACGGCCTCTGGGCCACACTACTCACCCTGGCATGGAGGGACTCCCCTGAAGCCTGGACTGGGCAGCCACACTGAGCCCCCGAACACCGTGCTTTCCCACCCCCTCTCTTCCCAGGGCACACCGGGTCCCAGCCAACACCCCGAGAACTTGCTCACTTCAGCGCTTTGTGAGTAGTGCCCCTCCTAAGCTTCCCAGCAAATGTGGCGTCTTCCAAATGCCAATTTTATTTCAACAAAACTCTGACAACAAGAAATTTTTTCCACACTTTAGGCAGGAAAAAAGAATGTGTCCCCGGAGGTGAGATACACTGCCAGAGTTGGCAGAAATAAGGAGCATAAGGAAGGAGAAGCCGGGAAGAAGAGGGCTGAGGCAGCAGTCCATATGAGCGGTTCCTGCTCGCTCTCCATCTGGGCGAGTGTGGCGGGCCCATCAGCTGCTCGGCCAAGTTTGGCCTATTGAGTAACTCCTTGTACATGGTCCATGCTCTTTCCCTCCCGCCTCACCCCTCATTCAATCATGCCGAAAATTTCTTAGGCTGAGTAGGAAAAGATGTATATCTCGCAACAAGACAGGCTTTAAGTGAAAAAGCATGGTGGTGATAACATTTCAGACAATAAATAAAAATGACCACTATGTCCTGTTTGGAAAGGAAGTGGGGAGTCAAAAGAGGGATGATATTTCCTTTATAGAGAAAGGGGAGAGAGGAAGCCAAGGCTAGGTGGAAGAAGACAGTCATTGGCTTCCAAGTATTGCCTGCACTTGAGTTTAAACTCCGAGTAGGGTGAGGGCTGTGGATGGTGTGTAGACAAAGCTCTAATGCTTGAGTCACAAAGACATGTTCTTTTGAATCTGGCTCTCTTCGCAACAAAGGGGACTGCCAGGGCATCTGTTAATCAAGATTTCACCCTACCAGAGAACTAAAAAGGCAAGTAAAAAATTTCAGATGACATCTTTGATAGCCTTATTTAACAGCTGCACCTTCCAATTAGAAATCTAGATTACAGAAAGAAAATTTGAGCAAAACCAAATCATACGATAATGAAAACTCTTCACTCATCACCTTTAGTGATCTTGGAAAAACAACAGAGAAAAGCAGAGACTGGAAAACAGGAAATATAGCATTACTTTTTAGACAGAAGAGAAGGATACCGAGTGGTATATAATGGCTATAAAATTTGATGTTTATGTTAATATTTTGCTATAATAGCTTTTATTGCCTATAGAAGTTCAGAAACAAAACTATGCCAAATAAATATCAAAACTATGTACTTATTCCTTAAATGGAGGACCAAAAGTAATCAGAATATGAGGCATTCTTTATTTTTTAAGGGGGAATTTAATTATAGGAAATAACCAGGAGACATATATGGAATCAGGTTTGGCAAACAGAGTAGGTGACCAATTTGAACAAAACAATTTTTGTCATAAGCAAAGTTTGGTTCGGGCAATGATCGGGAAGAGTGGTGTGAATCAGTGTGTGATTCCCAGGAAACAGAAACTTGATCCCGTCAAGGACCAACTCTATATAACCAATTTTGAATGAAGTCTCTCTGAAAAATATCAAACTTTTCTCTTAAATGGAACGATTTAACTTTTACCTGATGGCCCATGTTTTCACCATTGCAATGTGCTGATACAGGGCTATCCTCAAGGCCTCCTAAGATAGATACCTATGTGGTGGCTCGCCCATGTATGGATCTAACACTCACACTTTACTTTCCTTTGAGTCCACTTGTTCAGGTTTCTGTTTCTTGCCAAAACGGCAGGTTGTGATTACATCTTGCTGGCGCCAGCATGCCTGCCTTGAGTAAAGACTCTATCTTCTTCCAATAATTTCTATCTTCTCTAGAGGGGAAACCCAGATAACCAAGCTAATTTAAATAGGCTTCAAATTAGAGCTCTAAGACTGAGTTCAATCTGGCTGAACGAATAGAGTTCCTGGACCTGGAGGCAGGTGCCACAGGGCTTCTCCCTCATGAGCCCCATGCCTCCCACATACTTCTGGGGTCCCAGCT